CCTAAACATCCTTGCCCTCTATATCTATCTTGTTTGCTAAATATTTAGCCTTCTTTATAGCCCTATCTTTTACTTATGCAAGAATCTTCTTATTTTGCAGTAGATATAATATTACCTCTGCTAGTAACCTTTTATCTTCTTTAACCTTCTTCTTATATTTAGCCCTAGTCTTATCTAAGGACTCCTAAGACAAGTTAATATATAGATAACTAATGCGCATGCACTTAGAGCATTTTAGGCAGTTATTAGCAGAAGGCATAATAAAATAATTATAACCAGAAGCAAAGCAATAATTATAGGAAATAGGAGCAATAGTGTTATATTAATAGATTTTAATACTTAAGCAGAGTTGCTTTTAGGAAGCAGAAGATATAATACTACTATAGGCACTAAAGGTATAGCAGGGTAAGCTTATAAAGAACAGCTAATAGATTTAGGATAAATCTAAGAGAGAGGGGAGTAAGTATTATAATTACCCTTTTATAACTAACTAGATGCTAACACCTAGCAAATGCTAATATGCTTAGCATAATATTATATAGACTATCCTATATAGCGCAGTTTTATTATAAGTTATATAACAAGCTTACTCCTTAGTGTAAAGAAAGTAGAGGGAGGACTAGTCTACTTTCTCCCTAGTCTAGTAGACCTAGACTTACTAGACTAGTAATTTCCTAATAGGGAAGCGTATAGCCTAAAGAGATAATAAAGATATAAAAAAGAGTAGATAATAAAGATATATAATAGTATATATAGCTTAAACTCTTAGTTGCTAGGTGCAGGATAACATAGGGGGAATAGGAGTACTTATACTTTCTTCCTCCCTACTATATTACTAAGCAGAATATTCTAGACAATACTAGAGTATTCTTATTAGTAATATACTAACAAGATTTCTAAGCAGATTACGCGTCTATACACGCAATCTCTACTAATAATAGTAGTATATATTTATAAGCTTATTCTAGAAGCTTCTCTATACTACTAAGAATAGAACAATTAATATCTCTAGAACTAGTAGAGCTATAGGCTTGGTAAGCACAGGAAAATACTCCTTAGAGTTAGGAGGTTTTATAGCGTGATTACCTAAGCGCTATACCTAGCTAGGAATCTACTAGAGTAAAGATTATTCTAAGTTATCTTAAAAACTTTACACACCCCCTTAATCTTTACTCTGCAAACTAATCTATACTTATAGAAAATAGCAATTTAGTTTCTATATTAATAGTATAGATATAAATACTATAAGTAATAGAGTATAACAATCTAGAACTCTTATTACTATATAGTAGCCTTAGTAGTCTTAATATCTAAGATCTACTAGGTTTAGCCTGCTAGTAAAATCTTGAAATTTAAGATTACTAGTAGCTTTAGTTAGATTATCTGCTAGTATAGTACTAGTATTTTCATATACTAAGTCTATATTATTGCTTAGCAGGTTTTCTCTAACAAAGTGATAGGTTATATCTACGTGCTTAGTTCTAGCATGATAAACAGGGTTCTTAGCTAGTTCTATTGCACTTAGACTATCTGTTTTAATAGTATTTAATTTACTATTAAATATATTATAGTCTTTTAAAGAGGTATTATTAATAAATATCTCTTTTATAATATTTTGTAGATATAAGCTTTCTTTAGTAGCTTCTTTTAAAGACATGTACTCTGCTTCTGCAGAGCTTAAAGCTACTACTTTTTGTAGTTTAGAAATCCAGCTTATAGCTATAGATTTCTTACTATTCTCTAATAGGAATATATTACCTATAGTAGATTTTCTAGAATCTAAATCGCCCCCCCCAATCTGCATCCGATATTCCTACTAGTTTTATAGTACTAGTATTATTACTAGGTATACTAGTTATACTAGTGCTAGTAGGTTTAGTAGTAGCAGATTGGCTAAATTCTAGAGATAAGTCTAATCCTAAGTTACTAGTTTTAACTAAGTAACTAAATATATAGTCTAGAGTATTATAGTGTTCTAGGCTAGGATTAGACATAAACCTAGCTAGGTAGTTAATACTATAAACTAGGTCAGGCCTAGTAAATATAGTAAGGTATATTAAACTACCTATTTGTTGCTGAAAGTTTCTAGGTAAACTAGTGCTACTTTCTTCTAGGTTTTTACTTAGTTTAGTACCTATAGGTAAAGGTATGTTTTTAGGCTTATTATTTTGCTTATTATACTTAGAAAGTATTTTAGCAATAAAGCTTCTTTGTGTAATAATAATAGATCTTTTAGTTCTATTTCTTATTATTTCTACACCTAGAAACTCTTTTATTTCACCTAAATTAGTTACTTCTAATTTAGAAGAACTAGTTAAATCCCTATAGAGATTACTAACTAGGCTTAAATCTTTTGCAAATACTAGTATATCGTCTACGTGTGTTGCAAGTACTATAGGCTTAGTCTTGTGTATAAATATACTAGTATCTATTTTTAAACTATTAAATCCTAGTTGTTCTAGAATTCTAGTTAAAAATAGCTGCCATTGTCTACTAGCCTGCTTTAGGCCATATAGAGCCTTATTTAATTTGCATACTATTCTAGTATAATTCTTTTCTTTTATGCTAGTTTTAATAGTATTTATAAGGTCTATATTATTCTTTTCTAGGCTTTCTAGAGCTTTATTTAATATAAAGTCTTCTAGGCCTATAGGCAATTGCATATAGATATTTTCTATATCTATTTCTGCATTAGGAAAAGCTTGTTTAACATCCCAAGTATATATTTCCCAATCTAGATATGCAAAAATAGACAATAAAAGCCTAATTAAGCTAGGTTTGCTAGTAGAAGCAAAGGTTTCTTTATAATTTATATTATATTTTTGTAAGAAGCCTTTAGCAACCCACCTAGCTTTATATTTTTTAATAGTATTATCTAAGTTATATTTCTTAGTAAGAACCCACCTGCCTTTAATAATAGAGCTATTATTTCTAGGCTTTAGTATAATACACCACGTATTACTATTAATTAGATCTTCTATTTCTGTTTGCATAGCTTTTAAATAGAAGTCTTTATCTTTACTTAGTAATACTTCTTTATAGGTCTTAGGTTCTTCTAAGTTACTATTATTAGAAGTAGCAAGTATATTCTCTAATATAGCTTTATTATATAGAGATTTCCAATCTTGCTTGTTATTTACTTCTTCTATAGTACTTAGTATAATACTTTCTATAGAATTGCCATTATCTTCTTCTATAATAGAAGTATAATTAGCTAATTCGTCTTCAGAATCACTTTCTAGCTCTTGTATTCTAGGCTTATTTAATATAGCTCTAGAATTAGAAGGTTTAACTATACTAGGCTTAGTTATAGTTTTACTAACTATACTAGGTTCTAGTCTAGTAAATATACTTTGTATATTACTAGAGTTATTAGGCTTATAAAAATAACCTTCTATAATTTTGCAATCTCTAGCAGTTATAATTTTATTACTACTAGGATTATAGAGTTTATATATATTAGCCCCTATAAAGCCTATTAAATAGTAAGGCGTTGCTTTAGAGTCTAGTTTCTTAGTAAATAAGCTAGGCTCTTTATAGTAAGTAAGAGAACCAAATACTCTAATATTATCTATATTGGGTATTTCTCTATACTTTAAATAGTAGGGCGTTTTAAACTCTATAGAGCTATTAGGTGTTCTATTATATAGGTAAACAGCAGTTAGTATAGCTTCACCCCACATTAATTTAGGTAAATTGCTATTAATTAATAGAGCTCTAACCTTATTAAGTATAACTCTATTAATTATTTCTGCTGCGCCATTTTGCTCAGGAGTATAAGGAGCAGAATATCTAGTTTTAATACCTTTACTAGTTAGATAATTATCTAGTTCTCTAGATTTAAACTCATTATCTAATTGCAAGGCTTTAACCTTATTATTATTAAAAGGTTTACTAGATTCTATACTATTACTAGTACTAGAATTATTTCTTGCCTCTAGTTCTAATTCAGTAATAGTAGTCCTAATAACATCTATAATACTTTTTCTAGACTTAAGTAACTTAATAACTAAGTACTTAGTATAGCTATCTCTAAAAGTAATATAGTATTTATAGCCTTTTAATGCTTTAGGCCTAATAGGACCTCCTATATCTATATATATTAAATCTAGATAGGCATTTACTTTAGTACTATCTTCTTTGTTACGTAATTTAGTTAGTTTAGATTGTATACAAATTATACAATTATCTAAACTAGTAGAAGCAGTACTTATATCCTCTAGATTTATATAGTCTACTCCTTTAGTAGACTGTTTTAAGTGCTTAATAGTGTTTAGGCTTATATGCCCTAACCTATTATGTGCTAGCTCTATAGTATTTTTATTTAATACTATTTCTTCTAGAGTATCACTAGAACTACTAGAGTTACTAGTATTACTAGTATAACTAGAACTACTAGTATTGCTAGTATAGTCTTCTTCCTCTAGATTATAAGCCTGTTCTATACTAAGGTTATCTTCTAACTCTTCTATAGTATTTAGAGTAGAATAAGTTTTATTATTTATAGTATTAGAACTAATAGGCTTAGAGCTAGTAGCACTAAAAACACTAACGCCTTCTTTATATTTGCCTTTAGCTAATAAAGACCTATTAGGCGTATTAATAAAACAGCTATTCTTATAGAAAGATAAGCTATAGTTTTTAGAAGTAATTAAACTTAAACTTAGTAAGTTTACTCCTAAATCAGGAACATATAGTACGTTAGTTAATCTAACTAACTGTTTAGTACTAGTAAATACTAAACTAATATCTCCTATACCCTGTGCTTTAATAGTTTTAGTAGTATTTCCCCACTTAATAGAGGTATTACTAGGCTTTAAACTATTAAATAGTTCTTTTATATAGCACGTGTGTATAGTAGCACCAGAATCTAATATAAAGTCTATAGTACTTGCAGAACTAGTAGACTTAGAAGAAACTAGAACTTGTTCTTCTTTATTGCTATTATTTATAGCTTCTGTTTTAGAATTATTTTGTTTTCTAAAACAATTAGATTCTACATGTCCCTTTTTCTTACAAAATTTACACTTAATAGTACTAGTTTTATTACTAGTTTTATTACTAGTTTTATTAGTGTTATTAGTCTGCATAGACATTTCTATATCATTGCTATAGCTAGAAGATTTAGAATTACTATTTCTAGTATAACTATTATAGTTATTACTAGTAGAACTATTATTATAGTTCTTAGTATTCTTTAAAGATTTAATTCTTCTATATTCATCTAGTAACTGTGCTACTATTTCTTCTAGATCTATAATAGAAGTAGATCTAATAGATTGTGTAATAACAGTTACTATATACTCAAAATCTTTATTTAGATTATTAAGTAATAGAGCAACAATAAATCTATTAGGCAGACTAATGCCTCTAGATTCTAGATTATTAACTACTCTTCTAAAGGAGTTAATATAGTTTTCTAGGTCACCTTTACAGCTATTTAAAGTAGTATTAATTAATTCCTTACTAAGCAGGAATTCACTACTAAAGCCTTTAGCTTCATATAGGCTTTTTAAAGTAGTCCATAATATATAAGGATTACTTATAAATCTAGTTTGTAATAGAGGGCCATCCTCTAAAGCTAGTTTAATTAGGGCTGTAGTTTTATAGGCGTTTTCATCTAGAGGCTCTATTATAGTAGGGTTATTAATATAGTTTAAATAACCTTTTTCTACTATAATAGCTTCTATTCTAATAGCCCAAATATCATAATTACTAGACCCTTTAAGCTTAGGTAGCTTAATAGAATCCATTCCTCTTACTTATAGTTAAATATTTATTTCTTTTATAACGTCTTATAAAATACTCTTAAATAAATACAGCAGCTAAGTAATTAGAAGAGATATAGGCTATAGAAGCAATAATAGCTAAAGAGAGTATTTAACTAGTATATACTATAGTATACTAGTATATAAGCCTTATACAATAGTAGGAAGCCTATATTACTTAAAACAGGTCTTATATCCTAAAAGCAAATTTAAGCGTTTTGTATAAAAACACTATTTTTGCTTATATAAAATCTAGCTACTATTCTAAAATAGTACTAGTGCTGTATACTATACTATTTAGTAGTTATAGTATAGGTTAAAAACTGCCAAGCCACTAGGGGGACGCTAGTGCTTACAATCTAAATAAAGGCTATTTTGCTCTTTTTACTAAATAGAGCAATCTACTCTTTAGCAAATAAGAGAGAGATTTAATAGTACTAGACTCTATAAGAGTTTTAAACTAGTAGAATAAGCCTTAAAATACTAGCTTAACTATAAATAGCTAGTAAACTTGTAGTGCCTATTTAATAATTTCTAATAGGTCTTATTCTTAAATAGAACGCCTATATACAAATAGGTCTTATTTCTAACCAAGTATAATAATACTTTAGTACTAGTTTCTATAAACTAGACTATAAAGTAGAGTATATAAAATAGCTCTATTTTTTCTACTAAATAGATAGGCCTTAGGCTTATATAGTAGTTCTCTCTTAGCGAATAACTAGCTATTATTAAGCTTACTAATATAATATATATATATAGTTACTGTCCCTACTAACCCTAAGGTATAAGAAGGACTCTAGCTATATATATAGAATATATATAAGCAATAATAAGCTAGTATATATAAAAGCAACCTAGTAAGGCTTGCTTATATAAACAGTATATTTTTGCGATAATATACTAAGTAATAGTAACTTACTAGTAGGTTGCCAAGCTACTAGAAGCGTTACTATAGAGTATACTATAAGTATAGTCCCTTATAGGTATCTATGTTAAAGTATATAGTCTCTATAGCTTATACTATACTATAGTATAGCCGCTGCCTAGTTTGTTCTTAGTTCTAGAGTCTACCTAGAGCCTTTGTTATAGTATTACTACTATAACTCTCCTATGCCTTTAATAGAGGTCTAAATATAGAGCTTATATAAGCTAAATATAAAGACTTATTATAGTCTTACTAGGAGCTAAATAGGATAGGAATTAGTGCTCTAGTATCTTAGGTTATCCTTATTACTAAGGGCCTAAGGAACAGGGACTAATAGCAGATACTGCTTAGTAAGCTAGACTATAATAGTCCTAGTTTACTATACTACTATACTCTAATAATAGTAGAGTAAGTAGAAGAAAGTTTAGAAGAGTTCTCTAAGATACTCTCTTGCTTTAACTTTCTAGAATCTTCTAGAACTATCTAGTTCTTAGAAGAATATCTACTACTAATAGTAGATAATAGAGATAGAAAATTCTAGATGTTTCTAGAACCTTCTACTCCTTTCTATTGCTTAGGTAAGCTGCTTATATAAGCAGTAGCTATACTAAATATAGCTAGTTCTAAGACTTATAGAATTTTCTCTAGAGGCTATAAAGAGCCGGGCTCATAACCTGTAAAGAAAGTAGAGGGAGGACTAGTCTACTTTCTCCCTAGTCTAGTAGACCTAGACTTACTAGACTAGTAATTTCCTAATAGGGAAGCGTATAGCCTAAAGAGATAATAAAGATATAAAAAAGAGTAGATAATAAAGATATATAATAGTATATATAGCTTAAACTCTTAGTTGCTAGGTGCAGGATAACATAGGGGGAATAGGAGTACTTATACTTTCTTCCTCCCTACTATATTACTAAGCAGAATATTCTAGACAATACTAGAGTATTCTTATTAGTAATATACTAACAAGATTTCTAAGCAGATTACGCGTCTATACACGCAATCTCTACTAATAATAGTAGTATATATTTATAAGCTTATTCTAGAAGCTTCTCTATACTACTAAGAATAGAACAATTAATATCTCTAGAACTAGTAGAGCTATAGGCTTGGTAAGCACAGGAAAATACTCCTTAGAGTTAGGAGGTTTTATAGCGTGATTACCTAAGCGCTATACCTAGCTAGGAATCTACTAGAGTAAAGATTATTCTAAGTTATCTTAAAAACTTTACACTTAGCAGTTAAGCTAAAGTAGGTCTTATATAGAGCTTGCGCAGCTTATATTAAGCTTAGTAAGCCTAGCTTATGCAGCTTATATTAAGCCTAGTAAGCTACTATACTCTCTATAGTATATAGCAAGTAGGAATATAACCCTTATAGTTTATGTTTAACCTAAGTATTAATCTATAATATTAGATCTTAACCTAACCTTTAAGCTAGACAGTCTACTCTATACTACTTATTATTACCCCTTGCTCTTAAGACAGATAGATTATATCTATACTCCTTAGTGCAAGACCCCTTTAGTTTCCCTAACAGTATTTATCCCTAAGAACTAATTAAATAGTGCTTATAAGCTTTGCTTAAAGTATAACGCTAATAGTTAGATCCTTCTTAGGAGTAGATTAGACTAGCTATACTAGTATACTTAGCTTAAGCTACACGCTTAAGACAAGGCAATATAGGATTAGATTAACCTAGATAGCAAAACTATACCCCCTATTAATTAATAGGAGCTAATCTACCTAGATTTTAATAAATCTATAGCTACTCTATTAGGCAGCTTAGCCTTAGAAACTATAATCTTAACTACTATAATAGGCAGGATTAATTAATATAAGGTCTAGACTAGCTAGTAGTCTAGAAAAGCTACTAAGCTAAGCAATCTCTAAGACTAGATTAATAAGACTATCTTAGCTAATCTTATAGCACTAGCTTCTATTAAGATAATTAATTAAGATAAGTTAATACCTTAAGCCCTTATTTAAATCCTTAAAGATAATCTAGCTCCTACTAATGCTAACACTATAGCTCTAGTTAGGTAGTAATACTAATTATACCTTAATAAGGCTAGAATAGGATAAATAAATGCTAATAAGTAGTTTAATAAGTAGTAGGTAATCTATAGTAAGGCTTAAGTGTTTAGGATTACTAACATTAAAGGATAGCTTATAATTATAGATTTCTTAGATACTCTAGCTCCTAAGATTACTCTAGAATAGTCTTAATTAATAAAGTACTATATTAATATATAAGCTACTCTAAGAGAAAAGCTACTTATAATTAATAAGCTTACTTAAGTATTTACCCTAGAACTATAAGAGTAAGTCCTCTTTCTAAAAAAATAAAAGATTAGGTATTTACTTAATATTATATTAATCTCTAATTAGAATAAGAATAATAAGAAAGATAAATAATTATTTAAATACTTCTATAAGCTAAATAAAAACTACTTCTAGAAGCTAATTAACTACTAATGCCTTAAGACTATACTAATAAGACTAAGACTAGCTAATAGTATACTAGTTAATCTAAGTAATAAAGATAAAACTAAGATTAAAGAAAGGGCTAATAAATTAAAATAGACTATAATTAAGGAATAAGTAATCTAGTCTAGATAGAACTCTAATCCTAGTACTAATAAAGGAACTTTCTTAGTTAAATATCTAGGTCCTATAGTTATAGCCTAATTTATTCTAAGTACCTTCCTAGCTAATCCTAAACTAGTGTTTAGCACTATTTATTAAGGCTATCTACTCTCTAAGAGTATTATCTATAATAAAGAATTAGTAGTCTACTTTATTAATAATTAGAGCTTCCTTATTTTAGGTACCTTTAAGGCATTAACTATTCTAGAAATAGTTAATATAGGTATTTAATTACTTCCTATATTAGGCACTAGTAATAGGCTAATTAAGAACCTTATAAATAGATAAAATAGACCTTAAATAGAGGATCTCTTACTTAAGAATATTAAAGTAGTTAACTACTTCTATATAAATATTATAGGTAGTAATATACTTAGTTAAGTAGGTATATAGTACCTAGGATTAGATAGGATACTTTAAATAGGATTACTAGATAATAATATTATACTAGTAACTCTTAAGAAGAAGTTTAAGCTACTATTTATTAAATATAAGAAGTTTAGCTCTTATACTACTCTACCTATACTTGTTAAAGTAATCTAATTAGCTTATCCTATTTAAAGGACTAATAGTAAAGATCTTTAGTATAAATAATTAGGCTATCTAGGCTAATGCTTAATCTAGTTACTTGCTAAATTAGCTAGAAATATCTTAATTAATAGTATAAAGAGGATTAACTATAAGTACTATTTAGTTACTTACTTAATATAAGTTATCTTAAGAAGGCTAAAGAAACAATTACCTAGACTATTCTATAGAATATTATAAGATCTATCTAATATGCTAACTAGAAGGCTTTATAAAGAATAGGCTCTAATTATTAAAGATAACTTCTTAGGCAAGCTATTTAACTTTAATATTTCGAGTAAGACACTTAATAAGATTATAAGGGTAATTACTACTTTTAAGAGAAAGATTATAAGGAAATACTAGTAGCAGATTGTTAAAATCTACTAGAATAATAATACTACTACTATAAGACTATAAAGAGGTTAATTAAGATATAAGGAATAGATAGAAGAAAGAAGA